AACTGAAACAAATGGAGTTTTACACAGGTAATTTGGGCAGCTTGTGACGAGTATAGGGCCTAGATTTCACCTCATCTATATATATATATATAGTATATATAGTATATCTATGTATACCTCTGCAAGACTTACCAAAAACAGAAGGTTGCAAAAGTTGAGCACAAACTTGTGATTGAAACAGCGCCCCATTTCGCTGTTGTTGTGGGTGTTTCTTAATTAATTAAGTGAATTTTAAGACAATTGAGCGGTCAGCGTTTTGTGGCATGTGGCAAGTCGCGTTCGTTTCACATAAATTGTTCTTTTCTTTATGTCATTTCTGCGGCTGGGCAGCTGTTTAAGTGGAAATGCACAAAATGCAGCGACAGCGATTTTCAATTTTCAACGGCTTTTCTTTTTTTTTTATATAACCAAACGACGCGCTTGACGGATGAACGTTAACTGAAATGTCCAAAGTTGCGGCAGCAGCAATTTTGCTGCCCCAAGTTGTGGCAAGTTCACGCGCGAGCGTTAAGGCAGAGCCCAGCCAAGCTCTAACGCTCACATTTCTGTTTACGATCACGTTCTGCCTCTCTCTCTCTCTCTCTCTCTTACTCTCACAGACGCTCTCTCCCGCATTCGCTCTTCCTCTCTCATTCTTTTGCTCGGTTGCGTCTGCAGCTGCAGTCAAATGGAACCGTTTGTAAACAATGGAGCAACAACAACAACAACAACAACAGCAACAGCCATGGGAGCTGGTCAGAACTCTGCATGGAAAACTTGTTGGACAGGCTTATCTTTCTATGCGCGACGGCTGCTTTGAATGTTGTAAAACATGGCAAATAGATGTGGCTAAAATATATTAAGACATTAATTATTATTGCTACATTTGTTTATTAATTATTTTCACCATGCAATTTTGTACGTTTAACTTTTGACACACAACTAAAAAAGACGCTTTATTTTGCGCGACGAGAAGACACGAGAACAAATTACAGTTCTTTCGACAAAGTACCGCTGCAAGCATGTTCGAATATCGAAAGGAATCAAGTGCAAGGCAAAACCGGCGAGAGCAGCCTTTGCTGTTGCTGGCTTATCTAGTTAACGTGCAGACTCAGCACAGCTACTGTTCAAACATTTGGAGCAACTCTCGCAAATGCTCAATACGGAGCGTGTTCTTTGCCTTTTTGGAGACACTTTAATTGCATTTTCTTGTTGACCTGCGCTTGGTGCGCTCTCTTTACACACTCTCTCCCACTTGGACTCCCACTCTCGCGCACTCTTTCGCTGCCCACTTTACCGTTGTGATCCACATGGCGCTGGCATTTCCGCTGCCGCTGCGTAATACGCATAGCCCTTCCCTGCCCTACCCCGCCCCGCAAGCACATTAAATCATTCATTACTTCACTCATTTGGGATTGGGGTCAAAGCTGTTGTGGGCGCAACCACTTGCCAAGGGTTGCCTGGGCAATTAGAAATCACCACAGCAGCAGCAGCAGCAGCAGCGGCAAAGATGCAAAGTGTAGCCGCTCCAGAATAAGTGCATAGAACTAATCCAAACTGGGCGCTGGGGTTAAGAGGTGCAGCGTTCAATGAACTTGAACATTTGGGTAATGTGGGTGGAAAGCAGATGAGTTAGGGAATTTGTCAAAAAGAGTTTAACTTGAGAACAACCCGATTCATTCATTGGGCTCCATTTGCCAATGCTTCCATTAGAGATTTATCTCTATATATAAAACTCTTTGTCCTGACAGACTGACTGATTGACTGACTGACTGATTGGTGGTCAACGCACAGCCCATACCGTTAGAGCTAGGAATCTGCAATTTTCACTGCAGTTACATTATGTGATGAAGGTGCACGTTAAGACGGGGTTTATCATCCGATCGGCCTCATTTTCAAAGATCTTTGTTCAAAAGAGGGGTGTTTCACACTTTTCGATAAATTCATTCTTCCTTGGTGGAAATGGGGGTCAAAGACGTGTTGCGCTCAAATTCATTTCCAAGGATCTGTATGGAAAACATCTGAAACGTGTTTCACACTTCTCGCAAAATAAAAGCTTCCTGGGTGGAAAGAGTGATTCTACGTGTTTCAGGATTTGGAAAATTTCGCCCGCAACCATGGTAAATTGGCGGAAAACGTTTGTGTGAAAGTTGTTTGATTACCATGGTTTAAAACTAATTTTCAAATATCTTTGAGAGGGGGTATACCCCCCGCTATTATCCTATATAGACATAGTTCGAAATTTTCCACTTCCATAACTCGGTCAAATCTCATCCGATTTTCACGATGTTTAGGTCTTTGTCCATTGGTTGATCTAAATCTGGCAAAATTGTTCTTGCTCAAAATTCATGTGAAAATGTTACCCTCAAATATCCAATACACACTTAGGTCAAAATTTCCCACCCCTATAATTCGGCCAAATCTTAGCACAGGCAATATCGGGGATTACGCGCTCGTAATATATAAAGTGGATTCGATGTGGATAAGAAAAGATAAATATATTTAAAAGAATTCTTGCCAAAATTTTACGAAAACCGAATGCAAAGAATGGTTAAATTTCCCATTGAAATTTGAGTCAAAACTAAAAATATTGTGCCCTATAAGTTTAAGTCGAAAACTTATATACATATATTTATATTTTTGTATAGGATATAAACACAGTTTTGGTGCATAAGCTAAGAACAGTTGCCATCATTTAGAAGACAAAAAAATGCAAATACAAAAGCCAGAGGAAAATGGCCAGCTGGAAAATGGAGAAAATGTGGAAATGGACAACATGCTGTGCGACCTCATCGACATACACAAGGTGAAGGGCAACGAGGAGGCACTGAAGCGTGTCCTGCAGAGCATCTACAGCCAGCTGAATAGCAGCCACGAGGTCAAGTTTGGCACCAAGCTCTATGACAAGCTCATCTCGGTGGTGATCGCGGACAGGGGCAACGAGCATGTGAATCGGGAGCAGATCTCCAAGGTGCTTGACGCTGTCCAGGCGCATGCACGTCAATTTCCCTGGCCGGGATTGTGTCTGCTCCGCAAACTCTCCTCGATATCGCTGTGCGAATCCATAGGCGCCGAGGGGGATCAGCTGGCGGGCGCGCAACTGCATCCGCATGCTGGCCAAATACTGGAGCATCTGTTAGATGACTTTGTGCGAGAGCTCGGGCTGGAGTGCACCTGCTCGCCGCAGCTGTTCACAGTGATCCAGAATCTGTTGCAGTCGGAGCTGAGCGAGAACCGCCAGCTGGCCTATTCCATAATGCGGAAGCTGCTGCTCAGCATAGAGAAGTGCCATGAGAATAATAAGGATTGCGACAAGGACTGTCCGCAGGTGCAGGAGGCGCTGAAGTGCGTGGAGCCCCACTGGCCGGCCTATATAGTCATCATGGAGCAGCTGGAGCAGCAGGATTCGCACTTGGTGCTGCCCATGCTGAGCGGCCACCTGCCACGCTTTGTGGCAAGCAGCCAGGACAACGATTGGCTCAGCTGGCTGGAAATCCTGTATCTGAGACTACTCGATAATCAAAACCAGTTTGTCGTGCGCTGGACTCTGGAATACTTTCTGCTACACTCCAACATCACGGAGCTGCGTCGTGTCAATCTGCTGACCAAATTCCTGGATGCCACCAACAAAACTGAGCTGTACGATGCCGAGGATTACATGCTGCCGGAGCTGAATATCAAGGCGTTTGTCCAGAATAGTGGCACGCTGCAGTTCCTCGAGTCGCTGGTCACTGTACCCTGGCAAAGTCTGCCGCTGCTCCACTGGCTGCGCAGCATGCATCCTCGCCAGCCGCATGTGGCCAAGAGCTTGCTCTTGAAGATTTGTGGACGTGTCAGGTCGTTGCAGCATGAAACTCTCCGTTATGAGGCGCAAAATCGCATGTTTGACATATTCGAGGTGAGTTTGAGCCCGCTCCAAATTGAGGTTATGCGCTTTTGAGGTTATGTGTATAAGGTTTTGAGGTTAGGTTTCATAAAATACGGAAAAGTGTGTTGCAAAAGGGTCTTATAATCGATAGAGCAACTGTTTGGGATAAACCTCTATCCGTTTTCTCTGATTAGTTGATTGACTGACTGATGACGAACGCCTAGCCCAAACCATTAGAGATATAAAGGTGAAATTTCTCAGAAAATCTACCACCTTTTAATATATTCACACTCTGCGTTATAAGGCGCAAAATCACATGTTAGACATATTCGAGGTGAGTTTGAGCCTATTTCAAATTGAGGTTATGCGCTTTTGAAGTTTTGTGTATAGGGTTTTGAGGTTAGGTTTCATAAAATGCGGAACAATATTTGCAAAATGGTCTTATAATCGATATTTTGTAAATAAGAGAACAATTTTTTGGTATTAATCTCTATCGTTTTTTCTGATTGTTTGATTGACTGACTGATGATGAACGCCTAGTCGAAACCAAGGAGATATATAGGTGAACTTTTTACCTTTAAATTAATTAATATGAGATTATGAGATATTATCGCTCACGGGCAGAAAATTCACCGCCTATTAATAACTTCACACTATTTTTATTTCAGCCCACAATTGAGAGCTTCTCTCTGGGCGATTATATACAGTTTATGAAGGCACTTTGCAGCACTAGTGATAATTTTTGTAGGGATCACAAACGTTTTACAGCAAAAATTACGAGCTGCACAAATATAACTGAGGAAATGGTCTATTTCGACAAAGCCCTGTTCACGATGATTTTTCGCACAGGTAAAAGCAACCATAGTTTGAATTATCTAGTTTTAATTGAACTGTATTATCTGTTTAGATGTCAAGGTAGGAATCGAGCTGCATAAGCAACTGAGCCAATTGCCCAGGGCTCAGCATGGCTGGTGGCGTCTATTCTCTTTCTTTTTCAGCTTGAAACTCGAGTGTCCCAGTGAGCGAATGCATATTCTCGACTTTTATCAGGAGATCTATGATTTAAACATAGATGTGCTCGAACGTATAACAGATCTTAAAGAACTGCAGCAATATCTTGTCGAAAAGCTCAAATGTGAAACGGATGAGGAGATCAGTTTTGTGCAGCACCGAGCTGTCGATTGGTTTACTTGTGAGAAACTCATTAGTTGGAAGCAATTGGACGAGATGAGCATCAAGCCCGGCGACTTACTTAGTCAAGGCACCATTCTAACAGCCCAACGTATAGCGACTTTATTAAACAATATCGAGGCTAGATTAGAGGATGAGAGCATACTTAAATCCCTAATGGCATATCTAAAACAATATCCGGACAGTGTTTTGGTGTAAGTCTCACTCTTAATATTGGATACGAAACGAACTTCCCATCCGTCTGTATAAACGGGGCGATCTCAGAGTTCAAACTGCTTCCCATTTCAACAGTCTTTTAGTATACACAGATTAAGAAAAGTTGACTGGAAACAGGGTATCATTTAGTCGATCAGTCAAGTTGTTTCAGTTGTTTCCACTTACCCTCTTGCAGCGCCACGGCCATTGTGAAGTACGCCTCTACGCATTGGCCCATTGAGGAAAGCGATCAGATCCTAAACGAGCTGCTCGAAGCCAGCCAGTTCCTGAACATAAACGTCCTGTGCTGCACAAAGAGTGTGCCCACAGCGCTGCTTATACGCGGCATACTCTCGGGCAATCCACTCTCTGGCGAAAAATGGTGAGTAGAGAAGTTCCCATTTCAATCTTAATTAATTCTCCGTACTCACACAGCATCGAATATGGTTATCTGATCAATCAGTATAATTATTTCTTTACCAGCTGTAGAAAACGCGATAGTTATATTAATTTTGTTATTGAAGGTAAAACCGATACGAACCCACTTCTAGAGGAACTGCTGCGCATCAACAACGAGATGACCGAGAAGAAACAGAATTATCAGGAGAACTCCAAGGAGCATCGCATTAAAATGCGTATCGCCAGGGCATTGCTGAGGATCACATTCAAAAGTTCTAGTTTCTGGTCGGATCAGTTGTGGCTGGCGCTTCTGGCTGCCAACGAGCGGGAGAATGTCCGATATATGTACGAGTGCCTGTTGGCTCGTTGTCTGCCCAACGTGGAGCTGCTATTGAAACGTCTGCAGCAGTTGGCCGCGCTTAAGGCCTGCCAGCAGCTGTCCTTAATCTCCGTGCTGCACATCTACTGCCTCAGCAAGTACAATCAGATCAAAGTCGAGCAGCTGCAGCGTATTATCGATCTGCTATTGCCGCTTACGATGACCAAGGATCTGGAGATCAGACTGTTCGCCCAACTGGTTTTGCACAGGCTGCTGGTGCAGTTCGAGGACAGCAAGTATAAATAGCTTGACAGCATCATTGAACCTGATTAACGGGCTCACATTCCATTTTCAGCATCAAGCTGCCTGGCGTTACCAACATGAAGCTGGCCATTGAGGGCAGCTTGGGCCACAAGCTCCTCGAATGCCAGCACGAGGGCCGCCTGCTGCTGCCCAAGATATGCTACCAGACTCCAGATGGGCTACAGGCAGCCGATTTTATACTATATATGACATATGCGCCGTGCGACGAATACTTTGCCGATGCGCTGCGGCCGAATATGAAACTGAAATCGGAACTGGGCAAATATCGCAGCAGTCTCAAGATTAAAGTTGTGCCGGGTTAGTCAGCTACCCCAAGGGAAACCCTGCAAATATTTTAAGAAAGTTAAGATAAGTTATAAGATATTGAAGAATTTAAATACATACCATAGTTTTTTAGAATAGGCTGCACTTAAATTGCTACTTCTAAGCGTAAAAAAATCATTAAAAAACCACAAAAATAAATATACATATAACATATTCAAATATTAGTAAATAAAATATTTAACAAAAAATGAAAACCAATTGCAGTTGTACTTAAAATTTGTGTATAATTGTAATAAAAAAAACCAAATTATATAAAAACTACTTTTAAAAAAATTTCAATGGCTTTTTGTTGTTGTTTTAATACATATAACTACATAAAATCTTACAAATTTTGCTCGCATCTCTTCGTTTTTGTTTTGTTTTGTTTTTTTTGGAAAATAGTTTTCGCATGCACACAGAACGTATATATGGAAATTTTGGGCGCACTCTGTATACAATATTCTGTTATTATTATTAACTATTTAAAATAAGAAAACTTGTAAAATTGGTTGTACTAACGGCGTCAGCGTCTAATAAACGCCAAACGCTCTATATTGTATATATAATTGGTAATTGTTTTATAACTTTTTCAGCATTTGCATTTGCTGTGGCTTTCTTTTCTTCTTTTTTTTTTGGGTTGATTTTGAGGCCAAATAATGAGTTGGTTTGTTGTACAAAAGATTTGATTTGCATTCGCACAGCTTTGGGATTTTTTGTTTGCGCAGAGACAGAGTATAAAATTAGGTTTAATGAAACAACCAACAAAACGTGGTGGCAATGGCCATAATATCGGGCCAAACAGGCACTAGAAATCCATGGAAACATTTGAATTGACCGGCACATTGGCGCTGCAGTTGGGCAAGGCCATCATATCAGCAGCTGCCCCCTGCTCCGACGTCTCCTGCAGCTCTGCAACGATAATTAAAACACATTCAACAGGTTTTTGGAGGGTTGTAATCGGGTGCAGCAGCTCCTACCTGGTGGCAGATGCAGTTTCTCAATGACAAACTTCTTGCGGCGCAGCTTAAATGCCAGATCCGTGGTCTCGGGCATGTGCACGGCCAGCGTATTGATGGCGCTCATCTTGTGCAGATGCAACAGGCCGCTGTACTCCTTGAAGGCCGGATGCGTTTCACGCTCGGAGCCGGCAAACGATTCCAGCTCAATGGCATAGTCGACCAATTGACGTATCTTGGGCACCAAGCTGGTTTCCTATGGATCAACGAAAAATATTAATCATTAATAATATTTATATATATATAGATTGATTACTCACGTATTTGGCTATCAGATGCATGGGCATTGTGATGAAACAGACGGCGGTGCAGCTGCGCACGCTGGCGCGCAATATGGTTAGAAACTTGAGCAGATCCTCGGCAAAATGCTCATCGTACCAGAGTGGGGAGCCCAACGAGGTGAGGCAGACGCGGCACAGATTCTTCTGCTGCACATTGGTGCCCGGCTCGAAGCTCTCATCGTTCAGCAGCAGCTGCAGATAGTCGAGCAGGCGGCCATAGCGTGGATTGTAGAAGAAATGTGGCTGAGCGGCTGGCGGCGATGCAGTTGCAGTCGCAGTTGCAGTTGTTGTTGCGGCTGTGCTTGTTGCATTGTTGGCAGTGCTGTTGTCCGTGATAGCATTGTCATTGTTATTGTTGTTGTTGTTGTTGCTGGCAGTGCTTTGGGCGTCGAGCTGAACAACTGGAGCTGCTTCATCGCCGCTTGCAGCAGCAGTTGGCTCCAGAGAGCTGGAGGAGTTGCATATGTCATCCTCTTGGACAACAATGTTGGCTTTGTTGTTGTCATCCCAGATGGTGGCTTGGGCATAGGAGAGCATCATCGGTTCCATGTGCTCCATCAAATTGAAATGATGTCCAATTTTGGCAGTGGCCTGCTCCGAATTGACCAGCGGCAAGTCGCTGTAGCGAAAGGCAATGCGCAGCCCATTTTTATCCGCCGGCTGCTCTTGCTCCTGGCGCTGCTCCTGCTCCACCTCCTCGTCGGTCAGCGGCTTGGGCAGACGACGCAGCATTTCCGCTGGCAAATCGTCCAGGCTGCCCAGAAATATCTCCTGCTTGGACAGCACGCCCTCCGCCAAGAAGTACTTGACCAGCACCTTGGCGTGCGTCATAAATCGATCCTCCTCTGCGCGAACAACAGTTAGAATATCAGATAGCCATTACTGCGTTTCACAGTTTCCACTTACCAATCAGGCATATCGAGCCGATGGGCAGTCCGCCGCCTAAAATCAGATCGAGCGATGGATTACCGCTGGAGGTGATCACCTGGGCGGTGTGGGGGCTTGTGCGTGTGCCACGGATTGGTTTTTGCACGGTCCGTTTGCGAAAACTCGTCATGTCTCAACAATTTTCCACTATTGCGTTACGTTTATCAGTTCTCTTTTTTGTTTGCCGGGAAAAAGAAGACGGAATGTGTGCAAGGGAAAAATGTGCTAAAAATGGACACCAACTCTACTTGGTATTAAATACTTGAATATTCTTTGGCGTGACAATAATCCATGCCTAATGCGTGAATAGCTTGAACTTTATTTGATTAAAACACTGTATAAATGTAAATAAAATAAAATGTTATATATAATTGTCATTTAATGTGCATTTATAAGACGTGGTGACAGTTTTAACTATGCTTTTAAATTCATGTGTGCAAATTGCCTTAAAATCGACCGACCGCCACAGCATGTTGTTGAGTTTCTGTCTGATTTTTCTACACTGTGCTGTTGTGCGATGTTTACAGACACTAGAAGCAGTGTGCGATGTTTATAGAAATAACTCTCAAACGGATTTGCTTAGCAATGCACAGCGACTGCCAAACTGTTGATGAGCCTGCCAATTTTGTGAATTTTTACAAATTAAGGACACACTGGAAAATAATATATTATTAATTTTTTATGTTTTATTCGTTAATAAGTGTAGTCTGTGTTGGTTGTACTGCACAATTACTGTACCTAGGTGGCTAGTGTCCTGCCAAGCTCCAACTCAGCATACTACTATTTGGCGATGTTCACAGCAATTCGGGTAAAACTGTATAGCTGAGCAATGCATAGTGGCTGTAAAACTTTTTTGAAAATTGGAAGAAATCTTGATAAAGCCAATTTATTCGAAATGCTTTTTTTTGTATCCCTTGTGCGTTGTACTGAGTATTTACTGTAGCTGGGCGGCAAGTGTTCTGACTACAAAGGCAACCGTTTAGCAAATCAAACATCCTGCGGGTTATCCTTAAGCGTGTGTGGCAGCTGGCACGCCCCGCGTCCTCTGAAAGGATAATTGCGCCCATTTGCGCAAAAAGGATGCGGCGGCTGTTGTTTTAATTACAGGTTACAGCCTGTTCAATGGACTAACAAGGATAATGATAAAAAAGGCAAACAGCTAATTCTCCGCAGGACACCATCCGGAAGAGTTAAGCGACGGCTCCAAAGTCTAACTGAAGAATGTGAAATCTCTGCGTGGGCTTTCCTGGAAGCCACAGGACACACGCAACATGGCAAAAAAAAACAGTAAAAAAGGACGCAGGACATGCAGTCAAATGGCGTCAGTCTTATGCGTGGGAAAGGTAAACAGCAAGAGGACAATAAATAATGGGCTGCGCACAGGCAGAAAGGACAATGCAGGACAATAATTATTGATTGCAAGCGACATACACACACACACACACACACACACACACAGGCACACACACGCACACATAGCCAAATCCTGCCGAATTGCAAAACAAGGAGGAAGAGCGCCCATAAAAGTGTTTGCCAAAGGATTGCGTGTCCTGCCCGTTGCACAGGACTTGTGTAATTTATGGCCAGGACTGACCAGCATGCCCAGCCGCAGCAGCTGGCACCACCCGTCGGCGCAAACTGAACGTGGTCAGCTCCGGTAGGGGCAGCAGTTAGAAGAAGAAGCAAACCCATTGTCGAATCCTTTGACTCCTTTGACTCATTTAATTACGAATTTATGTGGCATGGCCAATGCGTTT